ACCTATCATCAGTCTTTCCCTCTCTTCACGAGTGCCTTGAGAGTTTTATGGCCACAGCACCTTCCTCAGGGGCTGCAGCTGCTGCCCTCCATTTCTCACACCCCTCCTTAAGGATTTCCTTTTCTTTTCAGCATTCTGTCCTCTGTCACCTATTTAAGATTCTGCTTCCTCAACACAGCTGATGAAGCTCATAATTTACCTGCTAATTAAGTTAAACTACCTGGCCCGGAAATTGAGGTTTTCAGTTTTTAATAGCAAATGACAAAGATAAGAGTCTTGATTTAGTCAATTGCTTAAGCTGAAGTTGATCTACTGTCCAAATTCTCCCTGGATTCCTTTATCGCAAGTAAGATTTAACATATTAGATTTTTACTTCCCTTATGAGGCTTTTATTTTAGTTCTTCTGTCTTTCTGGTTTTTCTTCCTACACATGGTTGTTTCTATAAACCACTTTGATACTTCCTATTCTCCATTTCATTCTTTTTTGCAATTAGGTTATTGAAAAGCTTCCAGTCACTTGTATTGGCTTTATTCTTTTCTATTGATTATTCCAGTCCTTTTAACATACACTGGAGTTATTTTTAGGGACTTCCATTTGCATATCCACCCTTCTTCACTAATAACCCTAAAGCCATGGATGGACCTGGCTGCACAACCTCCCTCAGATTCATTCTGTTCTGTATTGCTGGCTCTCACCAAGAAGCTCAGTCTGAGCTGTCTGTAAAGCTTTGCTGTGCCTTGAGGCTGTGGTTACAAGTACTGGCATTCTGTCACCATACAAAATAAGCAGTAAGAGTCATCATCCTGGGCTAGAAAAGATCTCTCCAGGCCAGTGGATCATCCAGGTCACCCTCCAACAGTGGCCAAAAGCAGACAGGAAATAAAGGGGTGAGCATATACAGTACCTCCCCTAGGTACTCTCTTGGCCTCCAGTTATTTGCAGCTCAGGAACTTCCATCAGAAATCTACTTACTCAATACTCTCAGAGGATTTTTCTGACATTAACTTGTCCAATCTTCTCCTTCTCCATAAGCTTCACCTTATAACACATGTGCAAAAAATGAGTAATGTCATATGTTGTGATCAATACACAGTGAAAATTCCTATAAAAATATTAATTCTGAGAAGAATCCTATTTTAAGTGTATTATTTATAAACAGTGTATTTATTTATAAATGAATCTCATTTATTTATTAAAATATATAAGGGCAAACATTTGAACTAATCAAAACTATTTATTGCTATCTACATATGAGAAAATATATCAGTACCGTCAACATTCTTCGCTTCCAAGGGCCAGGTGGCAATTTAAAAGTATTTGAATTAAAGCAGCCCAGTGCATGGACAAAAGCACAAGACAAACATGCTCTCACTGAAGCTGATTTTAGATGCAGGAATACATCCTGAATCCTGAAGATTTCAGGATGTATTCCTGCATCTAAAATCAGAGACATTCCTCCCTGGAGGAGATTTCAGGAACTTTTTTGCTGCAATTTTCCAAATCCTAGTGAAGGGCATCCAGCCAGAGTGGCCATCTGACATCCAACAACTCTCTCACTAAAAGTGTTGTGTTCCAGTTGATTTAAACCCTTGCAACTCTGCTTCTTGTTTCACCAGAGCTCTTACCTGAGAAGGTTCCTCAACCAGCTTCCTCCCACTGTCAACAGGAACAGGTGGAGGGAAGTCAAAGAGAACAATCCAGCTGTCTTGCCTTCACAGGCAGCTGCCTAACCCTCTTGGGCCACTATTTCTTTTCTTTAATGGCTATATAAATTTCCCAAAGCCTACAATCTACTAAAGACAAAAGTAACACAAATCTTGTCCTGGTCTTCACAATAACATTGAAATTGACACACTATCACTACTCAATATTTCATAAACTTCCCCTAATGAGGTTGTAACACTACAATACTCATATTTGCACAGGCAAAGAGAAAATGGCTACTGGAATTAATTTTGGGCTCTATGTCTACTTTTTCATGGTTTCACATTATTTTTCCTTGGGTATTTCTTTGATCAGTTCAATTTTATAAAATATTTACATAAGACTGCTCAGAAATGCTAGTGCTCTGAAGCAATTATTACTTAATCTCCTCTAAATCCTTACTAATATGTCATATTCTTTAAATAACTTGCAGAAAAAATACAACACTTAAGTGGTTGTAAACACATAGGAGGCAAAATATATTAAACTGCTAAGGAAAATAAATATAATTCAGTACTTATACAAGAATTCAAGTGTTAAGCTTTTGTATGAACAGCAATAAGAGGAGCCAAAGGAGGAGCTGAGAATTGAATAATTCATCCTTGAGATGCAACAAATATTTTCTAAATTTTCCACTGATTTTAGAAATGTGTGACAACTGCTAAAATAAATTGTATAGTCATTGAAGCCTGGGGCCTGTTCAGGTCTCTATTGAAATGTCTCTGTCAAAACCAAAACGGGATTCCCGCTGTTTAAATTTAAGAAATAGCCATCATCAATCAGTGTCCTCCCAGACTGTAATACAGAGATTCCTGCAAATCCTTATAAGTCTCCTATCAGTCAAAAGTGTGATAAAAAGGGCTCTGGGCAGGAGCCTTACATTCACTGCATGGAAGGATGCACCTCCACTGCAAGCATCAAAAACTACTCAAACTCACTGCATTTAAAAATGGTATTTTAGTAATTTTGCCACTAGACAGGTTTCTTCATGAGTATAGGGAAACCCCAGACTCACTTAGATAAAAGCTAGCTGGTATAGGGAAGACTTTGTTAGTCAATCTGCAAGCTTCAAAAATGACTACATAAATATAATACCACCAAATATGACAGCCTTTTTTTTCACTGGAAATTCTCAAATTTAAGGGAACACAACCACATAACCTCACTCAGATAATGAAATGTAATTAAGATGTGCAAATGAATGAGGTACAAAATAAAAAATCAGATTCTGGGAATATCCCTCCCTTTCCAAAGCTGTTTTCCAGATTCTACTTCTTCACCTTTCAGCTGCTTTTGTTATCACACTTCATTGCTGTGAAAACGCTTAAGCTAAAGTTGCAAAGTACAGCAATGATGTACACTGCAAAGCACTTAGGATTAGGAGACTCCTTGGAAAAGGAAGCAACATGATCATCAAGAGAGGTCAAGCAGGTACAACCCAACAGAACTCAGTAAACCAGGCTATTAATAACAAACCAAGAGGATAAGCAGCAGTCACTCAATTTAGCTGCACCAGTATTACAGGGTTAGCAGGGGTAAAATATACAAATATGTATTTACAACTCTGAATTATTTCAATTTTTTTTCCTTCAGAGAGAGCTCAAATTGGCAAACAGATTCAGTCTTCACAATCATATCGAATTAAATTTCACTATCCACATGTAACAGGCTCAGTATTACTGTATCAGTTTTAGGTGCAGCTAGGTACATTTCAACTTACACTTCAACACTGCTAACTTACAAGTGGCATATAAAGCATTAATTTATGTTCTACATAAAGTAATTGAAGATTAATTGTTAATAGCAATATTTTTCAAAGTATTAATACAGTGAAGCAGAATGAATAAACTATTTACATGAATTAGCAGAAGGAAATTCCAATTTATATTTCAAATTGATATCCTTTGTTTTCATACCAATGTTTGGAACACATTAGTCAGCAATAGATCTTCATACTACCACATTTCTCAAAAGAACAAGACCATACAGATACATACATAGTTATTGATCTGGCTGATAAATCTACACACTAACTATTGTGGGTACAGATAACCATGGTTCACTGTCAAAACCACACCTGCTCTTTGCAGTTTAGTAGCCAGCACAGCAGTGCTTTTTGCCATTTCAGTAGTGCAAGTGACCAGGTGAGGACAAAGGCCAACCTCACCTTCTCTAGGGTTTTGTCCAGAGCACTTTCAGGAGAAACCATTTCTATTTCTCTTTTACAGCTGGAACAGCCCAAGTAGTCAATATTCTCCTGGAGAATCAGACAGGCTGAATTAAGTCAACTCAAGCTTTTCATGGTTTAACAATCCACAAGCATCATGCAAATCAAGACTGAAGAAGAAATGCAAGACTCAGCACAAGATAAAGCTGCATGAATTTATCTACAGAAAACAATGTATTTTTAAATTGTTTTCAGCAGATGAAAATAGCTACAGTATCTCTCTGTGGTCTTCACTTTCTCCTGCACTACCAAATCCAGATGGAACATACCAAGACTGTTCCTGTGTCATCCCATGAGTGGGGGAAGAGGGGAAGGAAACTCATTCATTTTCAGGACTGGCAACTTTAGCTCATTACTTAGGTGCACAGCAACTATGATCAAAATCCTTCCGGCACATCATCTCCCTAAGGATGCCTGCTAAGTATCATCTTGCCTCCTCTTCATTCAAGCTGTTTTTAATCTAGATAGCAATGGGAAAATCCCAAGGAAAGATAACAACTAGAGCACATACTTTTCATAAGGCTTTCAGTTTCCCCATCATTTTCTCTATAATTTCAGAGGTACTAAACTCACAAGACTTGATTACAAACCCACTGAGTCCAGCTCTACAAGGCACTGTGCAGCGGTGGCACTTGGGATGGCCACATGCAGTGGCTTCACCCCAACATACACTCCAAACCCCAGTACTGCCACTGAGATTTGTCAAGAAATTTTCTGAAGAAGCCCATATGGTTTTTCTCCAGTTCTTATGTCACAGGAACCTAAATATGGTACTTCAATTTTTTTTAATGTCTTTTACATGTAGGTCTTTGGTAAGGAGCAATGATCTCATCCTGAATAATATGAGAAGAGAAACAGGAAAGTTATTGTCAGGCCTGTGATAATATTGAAATATTGTCATTCAGCTGCAACCAAACAAATCATTCCAGACAAACACAGTTGGGTTCCAGAATCCTACAAGTATTTAAAGAAGGTGAGAAAACCATAAAGAACAACATTACATCTTAAAAATTGTATATAAAATACTGAATTTATTAGTTTCATGACCTAAAAAAATCACATCAAAATTTCAGATCATATATACAGCAAATCTTTTCAGAATGGATTACTTACATTTAAAGATGAAGACATTTTATACATAGAACTTGATCTCTGCACCTGATTGAAACAGCTTTGACACAGTTTCACACAATACTGAAAATGGTTTTATGATAAAAAATAAAATAAAGTAAAATAAAATAATCTTGTCCTTTCTCATTGAAGTATTAGCATGTGTACTATTTTTCATTCTGCAAACTAAAAAGAACATTCAAATAAAGCAAGTAAGTCCTGTAAACTGCCCTTTAAATAAAACACCTATACAGTTTAAATCCATCATGAATGCAAGTTATTAAAAATATATAAAACTCATTCGGCAAAATGTCTGGACAAGTATCTTGGCAAGCTCTGGTATTTGTCCAGGTTCCATCAGCTTTCTCCTAAAAGATGGAAGTATTTTCTGTCACCAGTCCATATGCATCAGTTTCAGGTTCTAAATTATTCAAGTAGAATGGAGATCAATTTTGCCACCACGTGTACATTGAGGCTGTTTCCCAGCAGACGATAGCGTTGCTTTACTGTCACCTTTTCAGGAAAACCTAAAACAAAAACATAGAGTGCAACATCACTAGTCTGGGTTTATTCCTACTTTTTAGTCTAATTTTTTTTTTTCAGTGAACATTTCTTAGTGCAGTTATCACAGATTGCAGCAGAATTCACCCTCCCTCCAGCCCCCCCAAAAATTCACGAGGTTACAAAACCAATTCACAACCAATTCACTGGATTGGTATCAGTTCTTCTATTATCAATACTGCCACCTCTAAGGTTTCACAAGAAGCTTCAAAACATTCCTCTGTTGTGTAACTACTGATCTACCTTCCCTTCAGAGAGCTCAAAACATCCAGCAGTCTCAGGGAGGGGCAGCAGCACTAAATCCCTGCACAACTGATAGCCTAGATAACATCCACAGAAGAACATGACCATATCAGAAAGAAAATGCAACAATTTTGCAGATGGACTATGCTGCACTTCTCAATAAGCTTTATATTGTTCTTACCACATGATCCCTTCAAACAGCTCAGGCAAATCCCAAGCCTCTCAATGCAATATACCACCCATACAGATTAAACAATGAGCAAGGCTTATTCAGTGAGTGATCAAGCAGTTGAACAATTTTCCATGCAATTCAATGATGACCCCATTAAACACATTCAGAAATACAGATAGCACCAGAAATGTCCTCCCCATAGTAAGTGCATGGCCTGGCAGAAAGAAGGGAGAGACAGTAGAAATGACACCAGCCCAGGTATTGTGAAAGGGGTGTGCTTGTACTGACTACCAGGCTCCTGAGAGTGAAGCAGTTTCGAGCAGCCAGTTGGTCTGCTCTGTCCTTGTTTGCACTCTTACCTTACTCCAACTGTGAGGTAAAGTACATTTGCTTCAACCTGAGTAAAAGATGAACAGCAGTAGTGACTTAACTGTTAGGGTCATATAGTAAACTGCTGAAACCTGGCCACATTCAATTATTTCATCATTCCCTTAGAAGAAATACCTAACTTTGACTCGGAGGTCATCACCACCCCAATTAGCTCAGATGCACAAGCACACACTGTGAGTGCAAGTAGTGATATGTATGCTCTGAAGTTTTCACAGCTCTTCAGAAAAAAATCTGTTCCACAGAGACCTGAGGACAGAATGTGGTTGCACAGTTATTGAGCCAAAGGAGGCTCTGAGAAGGAGGTGGTGTCTGGGAGGAGTTGTTCCATCCTTCTCTGCCAGTCACTAATGCTTCAAATGAGGACTGCTTTGGTAAACACATCTTCTGCCAGCTCCATCCACTCTGCCCAGCTTCCTGGCACTCACATTTGGGCAACTGTTCTGTCTTTGGAGCAATCACTTGCACTCCCACACACACTTCCTTAGATGGAGTCTTCCCATTCCATTGATGGATAAGGTACAGAATAAAGGCATTTTAAAAGCACACATGGAAATAAATTTGTATTTATGCACACACACACATGCACTTACAGCTCAAGAAACCTATCTGAATCTTGAAAATATCAGAATTTCTCCTACTACCTTTTGGCAACCAAAAGCCAAAATTTAATTTACAGAACTCGTGGTTTCCTTTATCCCAAGCCTCCTCCCTCTGACTGTTAACACTGTCTTGTATTTTCTATCTTCTTGGCTCCAGAGTAGCCTACATCAGAAGGTCAGATTCAACAACTTCCAGTATGCTGGCACTTGCTGCACAGCTCTCACTGTAGCATTTATGTCACACACAGAACCTGAGGACACTGAGATCTTAACAGCACATACTTCCTCACCATGCTGGCTTTTGTTTCCTAAAAGCTTACATGCATTGCTAATAAGAAAAATGGAAAACACATCCTGACATCACTCTCATGAAAGCAGGTCACAGGTGCAAGAACGCTCTGTTCACTTTTAATGATATTGCTGTGGGACCCACCAGAGTGACTAAGACAAATGACTGCAGTATTTCATTCAACTATAGTGCAATTACTATTTATCCATTTTGATGTTAAAAGCACAAATAAATCTGGTCATGTTAAGAATGAACAATGACTTTAACTCTGGACCTCAGATATTAGAAAAGGCCATCAACTTCTTAAAATGCAGAACCATTTAGACAATCACATTGCTTCTGATGATACTGTAGCTGCACTAGTAACAGCATCTGTTACAAAGCTGCTGACAGTCTGTTCACATAGTTTTCAGCTTTGAGTTTCCTCAGCTTCTTCACTTTCTTGGAGCAATAACATATTTACAGTGGGTACAATTCCAATCTCCCTGGTTTTGAACATTTCAGCCTAAATGTTGCTGTCACTACAGAACACAGTAGCAGAGAACTTATAACACATTTTGCTCTGAAAATACCGTATTTCACAATAATTACTTGAAGTTTAGCATGGGACAAATGCTGTCAGGGTAACACCCTTTGCTGCAGCCATAAATATATCCACTTTCAAAAAAATCCAGAGCTTGAAAATTCTCAAAGGAAACTGAGATTACAGTACTGAAACTCATTAAAGATTTGTATCAGCCTAGATTCAAGTAACACTTTTTAAAGCAAAAAGTGGGGAAGTTTTAAACACAAAGAAATGTCAGACTTGTGACTCAGTGCAGGGGAAAATGCATGTTCTGCCTATGACTCAGGAGTATATGCCAGAGGAAACCACTGAATGAAAGAGCAGCTTGGTTTATGTGTCATCAAAGTTGGAAAAGCAGTATAGAGAGGGAAGGGAACTGCAAGAACTGTAAAACAGTTATAATAGTAACTGCCATAATTATGGCAAAAGGGTACTCTCGTCTGAGAGGCAGAATCCCAGATGAACAAAAGACAGGTCTGCTAAATGAACACATTGTACATGGTGATGAACTGGATGATACTCAAATTCAGAAGCCTGATTTGTCTTCAGAGTTCAGTTCTGGTTTGCAAAAATACTGAACCTCACAGGTGTCTGCAGATGAACTCTGAACAGAAAGCAAGATATCACTCCAAGCACTATGAAATTATAAAAGTCAGGTTTTGTGAACTGCTCACCCAGAAGTAATGGAGTCTTCCAAATATAAATCTCTCCATTGTCTCAGTTCTCCCTTTGTAAAATACAAGCAACATTAACCCTATTGCACCTCTCAGTAATGTCACAGAGACTGATTTAACAGTGGAAAAACTCCAGCTGCATTTTAAAAAAGAGAAAATGGGCAATTTTATGCTCAAAGAGACCTTGAGCAACATGATAAGCCTACACAAGCCCAATCCAGCTCTGTTAAGTTCAAGTATCTTGACATCAGCGTACATAAATATGAAACAGAGCTGTGCTAAAAGGCAAATAGAACAGATCCATTAAAGAAGAGAGGCTATGAAGAAACATGGCATGTTGGTAACTAACAACACAGCACACACTTGCAAATACTCATAAAACATGTAAGCTTAGTGCTGGCAACTCTAGTTTCACTGAGCAACCTTGATCATGTTCTCCAAATGTAGCAATTTCGAATATAACAAGTAATAAATGAAAAAACAAACTAAAATTGTGAAAGAAATAAATACATAGAAACAAGTCACATTTCTCAGAGTCACTGAGGGAGTCAAAGCAAAATATAACAAATTACTCAAGGTCAGTGCTGTCTTAATCTTTGAGCAACCTAGTCTAGTGGAAGGTGGCTGGAAATAGATGATCTTTAAGGTCTCTTCAAACACAAACCCTTCCATAATTTCATGGATGCTTTTGTTGCTGAGCGACAATAAATTGATCTGATGTGATGTCAGCAGGACAGTTTCTTAGCAGATATTAAAAGCTATACTTTCATGCTTGCCCTTTTTTACAAGGAGAATTCTGATGAATTTACTTCAGGTTTAATTCTTGTTGATGTGTATCCAGTGTACTGATACTGCTGAGTCTTGCTCCTTGAATCCTCCTTCAAAAAAACAGCCACTTAGAAAATGATGTACCTCACCAAGGGCTGCCCTTTCTAAAAGACAGAGATGGCTTCATAGATTGGTTAATCCTCAAGAAAGAACTATCTGTACCATCTGAAATTCCCTGTCAGCAGCTGTAAATGTGTGGAAAGGAGAAAGCAAGCAGCTCAAACACTGAGAACCACAAACAGACTTCCTAAGTTAGCAGGAAATGTTGATTTACCACAGTTGTGAGTAACACTGGCTGCTGAATAAATACTTTCAACTTTAAACAAAGGTATTCCTTCAATGCAATTCACTAACAGAGCATTTTAGCTTATGAAGATAAACCTCATCACAGAAGCTGGCTCTTACAATACATGAAAAAAACTAGTGGAAATTTAGAGAAATTCAAAGTTAACCAAACAACAAGAATCAATCAATCATAAGAACTGAGCGGTCTGAAAAAAACACAAAATAAAAAGAATAGATAGTTCCAGTAAAACAAATACATTAGCATTTCTGAAGAATAATGTAGAAGTGTGTATTTTGTAGCACATACCAAATTCCAAAGGGAATCCATGAAGATTTGCTATTTCTCTTGGGGTAAAGTACCTCAGTTTTAATGTTGACAATTTCATAAGCTTCTCTTCTTCTGGTAACTCATCAATGTGTTTGAACACTGATTCGAGCTATGAAGAATATAAAACCAAGAAATGTGACTGATGCAGGCAAAATATATAAAATTTACAGTCACATCTTACTAGAATATTTCCTTAATTATTAAAGGGACAAAGACAAAGCATGTTTTGCTTGGAAGTGTCATTTGCATTCTGGTTTTGCAGCCAACATCTCAACACATGGACTTGCAAGAAAGAAATCAATGTTGCCATGAGGATATTCATAAGTTCTTCCTCCAGTTCCAAGCTATACCAATACTTAATGGGGCAATCAAAGAGCAAACACTTGTTAACGACAAAGGACAGTGACTCAGTATAACTCAATAAGAGACCATTCATACAAATCAAGATGTGTGGATGCAGCTGTTTTAATACTCTCACTTTGAGATTATCCTGAATTCCAGAGCTGCATTCCTCTTATGCTTAGAAATGCCCTATAATATTAGTGAACAGCACAGAAGGGTAGGAGGAAGGGAGGGCTTGTGTACAACACAGGCTTTGTGAAAAGTATCTTTGAATACTGATTAACCAGTACATTTATTACCTTCCCCAAGGCCCAAATACTACTAGTCATGAACCATAGAACTAGTAATTTTTAAGGTTTCCACATACCTCTGTGAAAATTCTGTATGACATGACAGATAAAAATAATAGCAACTCATATTCTCCTCACAGAGAGACAGTGATATAATTTTGGTCTAAACAAACTCCTGTCTAGGAACACAAACTGGAAACTCAGTTGCCATAAAATGTACATTTAAACAACTTTTTTCTTATAATATTCAGAATAACAAAGGAGAAGACAGAAAAAACCCAAGCTTTGAAACAAGTCTCAAGTTTTAATACAAGTCATTCTAATATGTTAGACTACACACTTACCTGTACATCTACTGCTGTCTGCAGAACAGAGCCAGTCCCTTCTACATAGTGTCCATACCTTAAAAACAATAACAATCCTAAATTAATATTTTCACAGTATTTCATGGCATTGACAATTGCAAAGGTGCAGGAAGGTTACTTAGGTTTCTTTCCCTTCATGAACAAACAGGCTCCTGGATAGATAAAGCAGAAAACCTTGTTATAAACTCTGCTAACCCCTGGAGTGCAGAACCCTCTGAATGTGCTCTCTGGGGATGAGTCTGCCCTCAGTGCTCAAGGGTTTATCAACACTAGTGTCTTATACATGGCAACTACACAAAGCCAAGGAATTCAAGCATAGGACCACCAAAAAAAAGATCCAAGTTGCCTAAGCCTATTTTACATTAGGGCAAAACGTCTTATAGGTCAAATGATCCCAGAGGTTCAAATTAGCTCTCCTTATTAAAAGGAGGACCACTAGTGTGAGCCTCCAGCTTTCATGTGAAAGCATCAGAAACAAAGTGGTTCAGTCAGGTTTAACTTCTGGTTGCTTGCGGATTTTCCCCTGTAGGAAGGGTGATGGCCAGGCATCTCTGCAGAGCAGAGCAGAGCGAGAGAGAGCGAAAGAAAGAGAGAGAGAGAAAGAGGGAGAAAGAGAGAGAGAGAAAGAGAAAGAGGGAGAAAGAGGGAGAAAGAGGGAGAAAGAGGGAGAAAGAGAGAGAAAGAGAGAGAAAGAGAGAGAAAGAGGGAGAAAGAGGGAGAAAGAGGGAGAAAGAGAGAGAAAGAGGGAGAAAGAGGGAGAAAGAAAGAGAGAGAAAGAGAGAGAAAGAGAGAGAAAGAGAGAGAAAGAGAGAGAAAGAGAGAGAAAGAGAGAGAAAGAGAGAGAAAGAGAGAGAAAGAGAGAAACACTTAAATCCAAGTAAACAGTAAGTAAAGTTGCATTCTGAAACCACTGATAGCTATTCTGCATGCTTTGTGGTTGATTGCATAACAACATGTTTACTCTGCTGTCTCTTCAAGGCTATCATTTAAATATAATTATGGGCTTTCAGAAACATGCTCTGTTGGTCTAACTATGGCAGTTTGAACATTCTGAACAGAAAAAGTGATTCAAGACAAATCAAGTTCTTTGCCCTGCAGAAGAACTTCAGAAGATGCCCTGCATTAGAGGGATGTGGTCTGCATCAATTATTAACAAACACTCTTCTCTAGTTTTATCTGTACAACTGTAAAGACAATTGGTAACGACAATAAAGGTCCTCTGTTCCACTTGGGACCCATTCCTAAAGCATGGCACAAGTTATGTTTCAAGCCTCTCTAATTCCACAGTGAATAAAAGAACACTCTCCCTTCAGCACAGACACAATGACCCAGAATGGCTCAATCTTGAGTATTTCATCCTGGGCTGAAAAAGCTACAATTAGTTCTGCCAATAACAGCCAGAGCAGCACTCGTTTTAAAAAAAAGTGGTTACAAATCTTCCTCAGGATCAGAACACCTAAACACTGTTACAGATTAAATACACGTGGAATCTGTTTTGTAAATACATAATCTTTAATTGGTTTAATCTTTAATTCTGCAAATTCCCTAACACAAGGTTTAATGATGTAACACACACAGCACTGACGAATCCTCATCCTCTTCCTCTTATATAGCATCTGGTAATATTTCAGTTTAATATAACTGAGCCAAAATCAATAAATGGGGTAAAATTCAGAGTAGTATTGAAGTGTTCTATTGGGCAAAATAAATATTCCTGTCTAAATAACTGGCACTAGAGTACAGAATTCCTCCTCCCCAAAAAAAATCCAGTTGGTGTCTGTGTGCATAGAAGGCCGTGTGTGTGTGCTTGTTGGCTTTTTAATACAAATGTGGGCATATGGCTAATGTAATATTAGCTGGATTGTTATTTATTATTATTGAAAGTGCTGACTACAGAAAAGTTAACATTCCTACCTTAGACCAACATAATTAAATTTTGTCACAGTAAAAAAATGATGTATTGATTTTCTGACAAGATTCATTACAAGTTTCATTACAAGTCACAATGAAAGAAGTTGGCTTAAGAAATTGCAGTCTTCAATTTTCATCTGATTCAAGATTCCCTGCCTCTTTTATTTCTGTAAGCTTTAAAAAAATCTTTTCATTTCACACATGTATTTTTTCTGGGTATATTGTGTCGTATATTATGACTGACAAAAAGTCATTTCCACAAAGCATGAAAACTCTTCTGTGATTGATATTTGCACTATTTTGAAAGGTATCATTTCTCTTGTCAATACGTAGCAAAAATTTAAAGTATATCCAGAATGACTACATCTAGAGAAGTCAGATATGATTTTCATTTCCTCTGTCCTTTAAAATACTCAACTTCAGCCACCACAAACACACTCCAAAGAGAAACCATGGTGTTGGTAGTCTCACAAACCTCAGCAATCATTCACTAAGTGCCCAGGAAGTCAGTGTCAGAAGGGCACACAGAATGACCTGCTTGATCTCTCAAGCATTACAGGCCATTACATTTTGCGGTGTACTCCACCAAAGCTTTTGAAAAGACATACTGGTATAGCAAAAATCACTGATTAACTATCTGCATTTGAGGTTCCTGAAATAGAAAGAACTAGAGAAGGCATACCCAGATTATTTCCATCACATTAACCTTGCTAGAAATACCTGAAAACCAAAGAGAAAAGAGGGAAATTTTTCTCCCACTCTCAAAGGTGATGGTCAGTGCAACTTACAAGAAAGACACCAGACAGGCACAGCAGCAGAGGGATTCTCTGTACTACCCAGAGTGCGGTTCCACCCCATTCAGGGGTCTTTTTCCTAGATCTCATGCTTCAGAGAAATATAAAAACAGAACTTCTGGAACAGATACAGCAGGGACTTACTTCTGGCCTCAGAAAGGGACTTGAATGAGATATAATTATAAACTTTCTCTTAATGCAGAGCTAAATGAGATGATTACATTGAGAAATATATTGGCAACCTTCCTTCCCAAAGGCTCTTGAAAAACAAAACAAAGATGGTAAATCAGACAGAACCACCACCGCAACTACCTCCATATCAGCAGAGGGCTAAGACTCACCTTCCCCTGGTGTCAGATTTCTCACCACTACGTACAGAGACTTGATTCTAACTACTCAGGAGCCTCCTTCAGTGTGATTTTGATAAACATGACCACAAACTACCATGACGTATTCTACAGAAACCACAAGTGGCCAATTACTTTCGATGACACTTAAGGCACACAGAAAACACATCAGACACCATTCTGGCTAAGGGTTTTTTGACTACTCTAGTTAAGAAAGATATTTCACGAGATGCTGACCCCCCCTCAACTCAAAAGAGTGAGGGCAGAAAAGGCATATACATATGTGAGCTGAGGGAAGACCTTTGCCATTGCACAAATTTCAAACTTTTGAAATTCTTTTTCTTCTTCTTTACTGTCTAAACCTTTAAAATAAAAAAAAAATAAAAATTGCAGGAATTCTGTCAATCTGACAGTCTAATTTCTTCCAATTAAAAAAAAAATTACAATTAGCTTTAACTCATCATCCAAGACATTTTATTGAAACGCTCAGCAACTTAAAAAAAAAAATCCAATTACAAAAATTTATCAGTATTAAAAATTCCCACAAATTTGCAGGCTCCAACTGCAATGTTTCAATACAAATGCATTCAGTGGAAAAGCTCCTGACCAGCTGTCCACAGAGTTTCAGAACACTCACCAACTTGTAAAGTCAAACTTAAAATTGCAAAGTACAAATCAGAAAACTACTAGACAGAAAAGCACCGATGTTCTGCTCCATCAAATATTATTTGTAACGCAGCAACCTATGACAATCCATAGCTATTCTGATCTACGTAGCTGAAAAATCCAAGAAATCAATAAAATGTACAGTGGAGACAGATTTAATGAGGAATGGATCTGTCATGCATGACACTTTGTGACTTCATCGAGCAATATAAAGAAATTCATTAATGAATCAGCACTATACCAGTCTACTGGAACCATATTTCCGCAGGGGTAATGAAGCTTCTGTGAAGGTCAACAACAAATGGCAACTGTCTTTTGTGAATGCCTTTTTGCAGTGGGCACATGATGTTCTGCCAGACAGATTCTCACGCAGTCATTGCACTGGACCAGCAAGCACACTATATAAGGAGATTTTTTTCAAAGGCCTAGGATTTTTGGATGAAACACCTCTCTGTGATTTTACAGGACACAAGCAAGAAAATACACTTAAAATTTCAGGACATGATTTAGCAAGACATTTTCTTGGCACCTTACCCTTTTGTAAAGCATGTGGATCTCCGGCAGGTGGGTTTAACAATGTCTAACAAGAGAGCATAGCGCAGTAAGGACTTTGGTGGTAAGAAATATTGACTCATTTCTTCATTTTCCTCTTCCAAGAAGTCTTTTAGCATTTGAATAGAGGGATCATTATCCTGATTATGTTTCCTTTCCATCTCTTCTACTGTTTCAAGCTTAAACAGAAAGGCCCCTTTTTCTAAACTCTTCTTGCTGCTGCAATCTGGATCAATGCTTGGATCCAGATTCTTCTCCTCAGAGGACAAAGAACTGGCTTCTCCCACTTTGTCAGCAACTTTTTCCTTGAGTAAATCTTCTGGATCCTGATCTGGGAATCTTGTCAATATCTAAGAGGAAATGATGACAAAAATAAAATTAAAGAACTGTATTTAATAAACAACTTGACAGAGAGTAAGAACAAACAACCATACAGAGAGTGAGAATTCCTTCTGAGATGCTCACAATAACATTTAAATATTATTTCCTTGAAGATTTCAAAAGCAGTAGCATCAAGATTAGTTGACCTATTGGCAATGATGTCAGAACAGCCTCAAATAATTGCCTTTGCAAAAAGTCCTTTCCAAGTGTGTAAAAAAAGTAGCAGTATGACATGTTTTCTAGCCCACTATCAGGCTAGAAAACACATCTCCCAACTGTTTAAAGCCATCTAAGCCACAGACATGCACATCTGTCCTTACAAAGGTCAATATCCAGGCTGAAAAAAGAAGATAGAATTTAACTTTTCTGTTGGAATCACTCATTCTTCTCCATTTATCAACATGCACCACTAAACTGAAAATTTATCCCTCAGTCTTCATGAAATGAAGCAAATTCAAGTAATATGGATAGACTCACTTGACCATGAGCTTGAAAGGAAAATGGTTCTTGGTGAAGCCTTGCAATTAGAAAATACCGCAGCCTAGAATTGGGAATGCCAAGCTGAAATCAAAATTCAGAAGTCTTTAGTCCATGTGATAGTAGAGAAAAAGTTGTCTATAGCATCATACAAGTTATCTGCCATTACATGCAGTAACAGAACTATGACACACTAATAAATGTTATGACTTCAGAGATATCAGTATTCACGGAATCAGAGATTCATAAAATGGTTTGTGCTGGAAGGGACCTCGAAGGTCATCTAGCTCCAATCCCCCGGCTGTGGGCAAGGACACCTTCCACCAGACCAGGTTGTTCAGAGCCCCATCCAATCTGGCCTTGAACACTTCCAGGGATGGGGCATCCACAGCTTCTCTGCACAACCCTCAGTGCCTCACCATCCTCATCACAAAGAACTTCCTCCTGATTCTAATCTGATACTACTCCATACATTTGAACCCATTGCCCCTTGTCCTATCACTGCAGACTCTTGTAAACAGTCCCTCTCTGTCTTTCTTGTAGTGTCCCATCAGGTACTAGAAGGCTGCAATTAGGTCATCCTGAAGCCTCCTTTCTTCCAGGGTATTCTCTAGGTTCATAATACCTACACACTTGTAACTTCCACACCTAGGTACTTCCAAAGATCCAAGGGAGCAATTATTCTCTGCATCTCATATTTTTGACCTTCTCTGTAAATGAATATGAATGTAAACAAAATTTTATGTGATGCAAGAAGAAAAATTTACTTGCCTCATGATTTCTTGGGACAGGTACTGTCTGTTTTCTATTCAAAGCAAAAAAGTCTTTCTTTGCCTTTTTAAACAAGGAATTATAAGACACCTAACAACTAAATAAATCCACCACAATTGGTTTTCAAGCTACATTCTAGTAGCTTTTCTCAAATATTTATGGTACTTCACTGATTCCAGTGAGAGTTGCACAATCTGAAATCTCTCTCAAACTTTTTTTCAGTTGCCAGGGTAACATGGAAACAAAGCTCCTCCTCCCACAAGAAACAGTCACATTTTCTGTGCTGGGAAATCCAGAGGCACAGCACTTCTGAAGCAATGGGGCTCCTGCAGGGAAAACCACCTTCCTGGTTACAGTGGAAATTCATGCCTTCTTAAAAATATCAAATGGCAGCAAAGCAATATGGGACTAGGATTTGAACACAAACAGCAATACAATTATGACAGTATGAGAAATCAGAAGTCACGTCAGTTGGTTTTCCCATTGAAGTGTATCTTCAGCTTCAGGCATGACTCTCTTTTCTCATACAGAAAAGAATTTTCTAATGTTCTTGGACTCAGTGCACTTTGAACTATTAAACAATATTAGAGCAATTTTAGTACTCACACATGTTGGAGACAAGAGAAATTCCTGATATTTAAATCCACATGTTGCTAGTGTTTGCAAAAGTTCATTTCTGAAAGGAATCAAAAAGCAATTACTCCCTTCACATAGTCTTCAGTCCCTTTTTTAATCCTAAATAAACACAGATTAAATTCGACATCATATTTACGAAAGCATTCATTGAAATAATTGGACAGCAAATTATTGATTTGTCATCCATTACTGAACTTAAGAGGCAACCATATGAAGTTCAGTGTTAGAGACTATTATGCATTCAAAGGCACCTCACTCTTACTTACAGTGCAAATGCCTCTTCAAAAAACATCCCATCTCTAGGAAAGTAATTGTGGTGTGTCAACAAGGAAACTAATCAGAGGGCAAGATACTCTCTTTATTGGGAATCATAAAACAGGAGATTAAAACCACGAAGAGCTCACTAGTTCCTTCTACTCACATACACAGCACCAGCTAAGCCTAACAAAAAGACTAAATTGAGGGATGAGAAAAATCAGTGGCTTTGATTATAAAAGTGAGGTGGGACTGTGCTTTAAAAAATGAAAAAAGATTGTAAGGGAAATAATCTTAAAAGACTTTTCTTCTGTATTCCATGCAGACTGCACTAGGCTGGAACTATACAATAGGCAGGAGTTGTGACCCGTACCCAGCGTTGCATGTGAAACTGCATCCCAGGTGGCATAACAGAAAACAAGTGTCCTAACTGGGGTGTTTTCTGAAGTACAGCTTGTCCCTAGCCCTGATCAGCAAGGCACAGCCTAGGGAATCCCAGGGGCTACAAGAGGAGACCACGAACACTGAACCAGCTGAGCACGTCTCCCAGCTGCCTGCCATATTGATTAAGAGCACAATATGCAGGGTGGCAGCTGGTGCCTTAAGGAGCGCACAGAAAGATCCCACTCTGTTCCAGTGAGAGCTGAGAAGGAAGATGGCAACTCTCTCTCTCTTGCTTTGGTCACAAGGGAGGAGAGTGCTCCTGCTGTCGTTAGGTAACTGCAGTGACACCTTTCCTCTTCCACATTTCAGACCACAACCAAATACAACCTTCTTACTGCATCTCTGGACCATTTGATGGCAGCCCTGAACCAGGGATAATCTACTCTCAACAAAGGCACTCAAGAAGCCCCTGGACTATTCTGTGACCATAACACAAGATACCATGAGATCCTGTCATGAATGAACCCCTGAAACCTCTGAATGGAACACATATTATTATTTTCTTTGAAAGCTAATTCTGATCTTTTCTAAAGCAAACATGATCATCAAACAAAATCAAATCAAATACTCATCAAATAAAATTAAAAATAAAATACTGTTGTATTTTATCCACTTAGAGACATAACCAGTTATCTAGTAAGTTCTTCTCACAACCTAAGACTTTAATTCCTGTCCCATCTCAAGTTATTTTGTTAACTCCAATTCTAGGAAAAGAAAACCCCTTCTAAAGAATAAATCCCTTCTCCTTCTAAAGAATATATCCTTTTTGCAAACTAAAACCTGCATATATTAACTACAGTTTACCTTGCAGAAGAGGATTCAAATCCTTTAACATTTTCTAAAAGTAGGTATTTTGGAAGCTTCTGAAGCCTACAAGGAAAAAAAAGGCAAATCAGTGTAACAAGACATAAAGTACATTATATTCATCCACAGATCTGGTTAGCTAGCAGAAAGATCAAAGTATTTCCACATCATGCTGGCTGTTAAAGTTTAGCATCCTTATAAAACCAACTGAATTAAAAATGTGGACTGCTGGTAAAAACCACAAACCCCACCTATGTTTGGATGAACAGCTGTACCCTCTTGTACTCCATGCATGTACTTTTGAAAATGTTTATCACTCTTCATTTCCTAAAGCACAGTAATTTTATTAAACAGATTCAGTGTATAATAGGAAATATAACTGTTGGGGGAAAACCAATAGCTACTTAGCCATAAAACTGTTCTTTTCAATTGCTTGTACCTGAAATCAATGTCAAAATGTGACATAAACCTTAATGATAACACATCAGAACCAGTATTCATTTAACTGATTGAAGAAACACAATATATTTAGAGTTCAAACTGCAGATATTCTCATTTTTCTAAACTTGACTGTTTTATTTTGATGGGCTAAAGGAGGTGTCTCAGCTTTAGCAGGATCAGTGTAAAGGTCTGGAAATAGGCACATTCCAAAACCAGCATATTAAATCTCTGGAGAAATGAGCATGCCCAAACTGTGCCAGGGACTCTTCCAGCAATTTAGAAGCATAGATGATTCAGATTCAAGTCTCTGGGAAGATTCTGTAGCACTGATTAATTCCCTAATAAGGCTAATGCAGACACACAATGTCTGTCACACACTCGGATCTCAGAACATACAGAAGGAGAATATTAATGTCCCCAGACAGCAGCTTCATGCTTATTGAAGTTAGTGACTTTGGACTTCCACTGGAACAAATCACAGCAGAATTTGTTTCAGCACATTTTTAGTTACCACCAATTAAAAATATCATATGAATTAAAAGAACCAATGCATCTCACAAGAAACTACGCCAAACTTAAAAATATTAAAGATAATAGTGAAAAACTAATACTAAGCTGAGAAAAGCAGCATCAGCCAAATTCCTTGCAGAGGAATGGAGAATATATCTGCTGATATGTCTACCCACACTCTTCATCATTGACTACTATGAAACTTCTTTTCCATCAATGAATCCAGAGCACAGCCTGAAATGCAAGCACTCATAGTGGATGGACAGATCACAAGGCAAGCAATCACTGTACAAAATGGAAGTGTTAAGCATTTGATAGGTATTAACATTAAAAATGTTTCTGTAAAAGCAGCACTTTGATGTTTTAGCATTGGATTTTGCCAGGTTATGGCTTGGACACAATAAACAGATAGTATCTGGACCATTTGGGTTGGACTTTGCTGGCTAGGTGCTCCAAGGATTCCCCATGTCTTTCCAGATCTTGAAATCGTCCTTTCCATTATCTCTAATATCTGTCATCCCAGGCTACCTCTGAGTCTCATTTCAGCAATATTTCATTATAAAACACTGAACAAAGATAAGTACATCCAAGGTATGAGAAATTATTTTACACTTTTCATAAACTGCATGCATATCATAGCAATTTAGAATGTAAAGGGATAATTTCTACATTAAGAATTTCCTTTTTTGAGGCTGAAGTACTCCATACTCAATGTCTCCCAAATGTATCATATTCAAAAAACATGTAAGTGCTATCTTAGTAAAACACAAATCCACTGGAATCGAGAAACTCTACAGAAGCCATCATGTTGAACCTCCTAGTGACTGCTTAGAGTGGGTGCTGTTTCAAGAACCCTCCCCAGGGAGATAAGGAACATTAGCAGTGTCTCCTGGGGTGTTGAGATAAAAGTCAGACAGCCAAGCCCAGGTCCTTTGCATCGTCATGATAAAAATGTAGGTCCTGGAGTGTCTAAAGCTTTGGTTTTGAGAAGGAAAAGCTTCTGCTGTTAATCCAGCTATGTCCACACTATCTGGGAAGCAGTACTTCCATATTAATGCACTATAATGTCCAAAAGCAGCCAGCCTCTTAACCATATTTCAGTTTAATGGAAAGGAATCCCCAGGTCACGATGCCCTTAAGGATATGGGAGATACTATTATTCTGACAAATTATTAACTTCCTCAAGTACCTGCCTGGTTTCATTTTCATTTTAACAGATCAGTTTGAAACAGATCAGTTTGTGTTACATTTCTTGTTCCACAAAAGACATCCTTTGCAACTTCTAAACAACCCACATTCTCTCCCTAATTTTGTGTCTCTGACAGAAGCAGGGGAGTAGTAATACCCATTCTTTTTTACCTAGGAATTGTCTAACTTACTGGGCTACAGAATCTGTGTTTTGTTCTGTGTTGTCTGTCACAGATTTCTTATGTAGTATGGCCCTGCCAAGCCACTCAGCCCTTCTGTGTCATTGCTCTCTCTCTGCTCATGACAAGGGCAAAGCCACAGTTCCATTCAATGTTGTTGGCTGTATAAAGTTTCCAGAACAAGGATGAACACTCTTTTTTCCCAGTGCTAACAGCAGTTTGAAAGAAAGGCTTTTTGGTACTGGCTTCCTTCTGTGTTGAAAGCATTCATTAAAAAAAAACAAAACAAAACAAAAAAAAAGAGTAAAAGAGACACCAAACATTCATCTGTCCTTCTCCAACCCTGACAGCAAGATGAACTAATGGAGTAATATATAGGTAACAGCTGTCCTAGTCTCCAGGTGAAGCAAGACTGCCAATAAAACAAATAATTATGGCTGTTTTATTAGGAACTGAGGTCTGACCAGGCAAAAAATGACAGACGAATTCAAGGACACTGTCCAGACAATGCAGTGCTATTCAAATTCTTTAGTATTACTACTCCAAACAAGAGATTGTACTACCAATCCAAAAATACACAATCTGCCCTAAGATATCTAGAAGCAGCACCAAAAAGAACAGAGACTTTAAGAAAGAACTGGTTGCAAGATGCATTGCATTGTACAGTCAATAGCACACTTAAACCAATTTTCAAATGGTACCTCTTCAAAAAAATGACTATATGTTGAATCTAAGCTTTTGTAACCCAATATTTTAAAAACCTTTCATGTTTCCATGAGACCAATAGACAAACTACTATATTACCTACTCCTGTTTCTATGTGAAATCAATGCAAATTTGATGTTGAACTGAAAAGAACTCTTTCTTTTCATTTATTGTGTAGGCACAGTTTAAACAGACATGCAATGAGAAGGAAACCAGACAATGAAAGCATATACAGCATCAATGAAGTGATTACAGCATTAGTAAAATACAAGTATATGTAAGATACATATGATCATGTGAAAAGAAACACAGAATACAACACAACACCAACAGTATCTCTCTAAAACATTACAGATATCTTGTCTCACTGAAATAGAGAAGACCTAGTTACAACAAAGCCTATTTACAAAAGGGGCTTTACCATGGAGGTAGAAGTTCATTTATACCTTGGGAGAATATCAAGGATATAGAGAAAGCTCTTGGTCCGTGGGTCAGACACGTCACCTTGCAGGCCAGTTCTAAGAAAGAATAAAGAAATGCCGGTGTATTACTCACTGACATTTGAGTTACATTTTTCTACAGAATGCTGGCACTTTGCTTTGAGTTTTGAAAGAGAATTCTGCAAAGGCATCACATACAGACAGGAGGACCTGCTCACAGAGGCAGTGTCCTGAGAGATGCTCTAAGGAATGAAAGTCTGCCCCTGGAATCCATCAGTTCACAGCAAAGTTAAAATTGAAGCATTCAGTAATGAAATCCACTCCTCAGTCTGCAAAGGCTTTAGCATTCTGGTCTTGTCCAGCAAAGCCTTTGAACATACTTGGCTCTGAATGAACAAAAAACCCCCACTGGGTTTCTGGGAATACCCTGCTACTTTGCACTGAATATATTAAATTATTTCTATGAATTAAAGCCTCATTGTTCACCATTTAGCAGGATGGAGCCCCACATGAATAACTTTGGAAGCAATTTTGTAACACTAAACTGGAAAGATTATGTAGGTTACAAAAATGATAATGATTCCAGGCCTGTGTTTCCCTAGTTTATACTTGTATTAACTCATAAAAAAAGAATCAAAGCTTTGTAGAAGAGCTTTAACATGTATCTAAATTAATCAATCAGTCATACACAGATTTTTCTTTTCATTATATTATAAAGAAAAAAAATCTGAAATATTTCCTATATACATCATAGGTTTGCAATTATTCATTTGTACAGATCAGCACCACTTTACAGGGATTTCTTTTCAGTCTTAGAACATTCAGTAAGATACACTTTCTTACACAATCATTATTATCACCATCAACAGATTTTTTTCATGAAGCTACTACTTTGCATGAGTGCAGTTACTAGAATCTTATCCCACTGGTCACTGCTGTCAAATGATTTAAATTACAAATTAATCTGACAAATAACATCTCAGTAAATTCAGTCCCTAATCAGCAAGATATTTCTCTTTATCATCCACAAAATCATTTCAAAGCCATTATCCTTCTGGTCTTGGCTAAAATAGAATTATTCTTCAGAATAAATTGTTTGTGTGCATTTGCAATTTTCAAAGTACAAATAAAATCAGATTATACTCTTAAGTCTCAGGCAGAACTCAGAAATTCCAATCCTCCTTCTGGGCTTGGCCCAGGAAAATATTAGATTGAAATCTAAAAGCAAAGGCAGGACTCCCAAACACTAAATTTTACTAACAGAAGAATAATACAGTTCACAAAATTGGTGCTGTAAGAAGCTTACTTAACTTAAACTGAATTAATACATACATATGCAAGAAATGTGATCAACAATTAAGATGCAAATTGCTGCATTTCTTTCACCTCAGTAAACACCATGGTGAACAGAGCTACAAAACATTTGCTTAAGAAGAGAAAGATCACAGATCACACACACAGTGTCACTATGTCTTGATAACATTTCTCCTTTGACCATATACAGTATAAAAGTGCAATATACAGCAATAACTGCATTTTTTTCCCAAGTGTGCTGTACCTACCTTGTAAAAGGCTGACAGGGAGGACTCATCAAAATCATATCAAAAGATAATTTGTCAAATTCTTTCAGTGTTATTCCCTGAAAACAGAAAAAAATAGAAGAATGTTAAGTGTTGTGAATTGTATGAAATTCCCAAGTTATCTTTCAGATCAAACGAGCCCTCTTACTTCCAGTATGCTTCATTTAGCAAAAAACTACCTAATCTCTCATTTGACCTAGTAATTTCAAAATCTTTCCTACCTTGGCAAACCACAAAACATAAATATCCATTCACTGCTCTTCATATGAAACAAAACACTAATAAGGTTAGCATCTATACATAATCTTGAGGTTTTTAGCTGCTCATTCTTTGAGGTGTGCAGTGGTTCTTTCAGCAGATACTCACCTGTTATTTCTCCTGAAAATAAAGTATCATTACTCAGATATGAAGTCTTTGTACATCAAAACAGTGTTCCCATACTCAAAATATGTGTAAAAACATCTAAGAAGAAAAGTAGCTCAAGTGTAAATATGATAATTTTTATGCATCCAAACTATGGGGTTTAGCTCTTAGGGGCTCACTGGCAATGCACCATATAAAGTTTATTTCACAGTTTTTCCCCTATACAAATTAGTCAAAGATATTGTATGGCTGTAATTCTCTACAAAGACAATCCTGCTTAGAAAGGAAAGAATTAGGTCTGTGGCAGGAATTAATTACACAGGTAGAAATTCCTCTAAACTAAGTTTTCAGCAACACTAGATCAACACATAAAGGGCCAGGAGGAAAGAAGGACAATGATCAAGTAACTATGACTTGGACCAAGAAATGACTCCTTACATATTCTGAGGGATACCTATACAGCAAATGTAATATAGCTACCCTCAAAAAGCTAGACAAAAGCTGCTGGTTTTATTCCATTATATTTGAAGAAGGTGTCACTGACTAATAATCTGCTCTTGTCTACTATAAAATGATACAGGCAAAGATTAATTTTCTTTTTCCATTATAAAACTATCACTTAGCCAGTTATTATTGAGTGCTGAATAAGCATTTAACCTTTAGCCACCTATTTAACTCTTACTTAAGCTGGTGTCTTAAAACAGACACAGTATCTATTACTGCCATGTTGTAAAACCATAAAAGAAGATTAAGAAGTATACAGTAATTTCTAACTCAATCCAAGCAAAACTCCATGCCTAGCTTGCCTCTCATCTATTAAAACAGACAACTTTAATCCAATTTTACTTAGTTATTTTACAAATAATTTGGCAAGTGACAGAATTCCTAAAACATTTTATCTATTGAGACAATTAAAAAAGATTCAAGAGTGTTCAGCTCAATAGATTTTGTTGTGTTTCTCAGAGCCCAACTATAACTTCAAAATAAAGGCATGCCCCCAAGTAATTTAATTAAAATTTTTCAAAGTACATGAAAATATTTTTTTAATCTAAAAATATGATTTTTGTCATTCTTTTACTGATGGTAAGCATTCCCCTTGTCATTTATATAACCTTTCTTCATGCAGAAGGCAAGACTTTCTGGAAAAGCCTGCAGTATGAAATCCCTCTTACTTCAACAAGCAAACAGTACAAGCCATCAGTTATTGCAAAACTGCTTTTTCATAATAATATTTCTGTTTCTTTTGTTATTAATAAAGGCAGTGAAAGCAACTCACATCTTACAAATGCAAGACCACAGTATAAAACCCCTTAATTACTCACCTCAATAGTCTTTGCCCATAATGGTGTGCTGGGAAAGTTGTGCTTATAAACATCATTGGCAAGAGTGTTCACATCAACAGCAGCTACAACTTCTGCATATGTGCAGCTTTCTAAAATTAAAAAAAAAATAATTTGAAAACTCTAGCATCTCTTTACTACTCTTAGAAAAATGTATTTGCTCAGCTGTGTTACAGCATCGCTAAAAAACAAAAGGCAAATTACACAATCAAATTCTGCTGTGCTGTCTTTGAAACTTTGTACAAAAAATATACTGTTTTTCTAATCATATGGGCAATACTGCTTTTCTTTATATATCCAAAAATGGAAGCTAAAGTAGATGTTGCAGGGTGCACCTCTGCAACATTTCCACCTCTGTGCAGGTCTCTGTGGTAGCAAGCTCCTGGCTACAGGAATCCTGAGTCAATCCTGCCAAGCCCCACTGCCACTGCCTTATCCTCTGACAACTTACAAGAAATAAGTGTGTTGTTTCAGAGGCGTACTACTTCTCATTATGAAAAAACAGCACCCATATATTTGATACATGTCTACTCTTCCAATAAAAATTTAAGCTGTCTGAAAAACATTTGTGCTTACATTTCAGTAAAGCCTTAGGCCTCAAACTCATCAGCTGCCTCCTTTGAGTTAAAGGTCCCAAAATACCAAACTTGGCAGCTTCTCCTCTCTTGGACAGAGGTGTTATTGAAGAGAGGACAGTGTAACAAACTCACAGCTAAAACCCTGAAATAAAAATACACTAAAAAGAATGTAAATAAACAACTGTTAATTTATAAAGTAAGAGAGCAATAGGTTCTACAGAAGCTAAAGAGATAAAAAGAGCAATGTTTACTCCATTGCTCATCATGGCACACTACTTGTTATTACTAAACACAATACCTTCACTGAGGCTTTTTATCCAAGAAGACGGGCTGTGGTCACTGTCACAGCTGCAGGCAGAGAAGTGACCCAACCTCCTGATACCCAAGATCAGTATCAACCACCAGGATATTTACATTATGGTCAGCATTACAAAGCATCACCTGAAACACAGGCAACTTTAAAAAAGCTTTTGTAGACCAAAAGAAACAAGGCAAATTAGCCACATGCCTTTGAATAATCTCACAATATGCTCAAGTAACACATTAACAAATGACCTTATGAGACACTGCATGAATTACTGCTAGTCAGCTAATTATTTACAGTTTGAGAGGATGAAAGCCCAACTGGGATGATCCCAGTGGACTTAATTTTGAATAATGCAGTTACCATCCATCTACTATCTTTCAGGTTTTCAAGGCTGTCTTAGCCAAAACTAAGATGAAAGAGAAATCTGGGTATTGAAAAGATTGTAGCAGACATTTTAACAAGGACCAGGCTGGTCCTTCCAGGTTTACTTGATGCAATCAAGGGCAAAAAGACAAGGTTTTTCACAAGATAAATACTTACAGACCATTAAGGGTCAGCATACAAATCACTGTTTGCCATTGCTGTCTTGACCTTTTGACCAGAAGTTGTAACTGAGAACTCAATACAGGTGTATGCACAGGGACAATAGCCTGACTATACCTGAGATTACAGAACAGGTAAGTTAACACTGACACCTAGCGTGAAAAGAAAGCTGGATGAGTATGTCAACTTAAAAACATGCTCAAGAACCAACACTTCCATCTTCCTAAATCAAAGCTGCAGCATCTAAGGACAAACTTCCAATACTGTTAGAGACCACTTTTCTCACTCACTCCTTCAGTTCTTAAAACACATTGCCCTAACAAGCTAACTCTTACTGTGTTTTCCAGGTACTGCAGAAGAAAAATGAAGTTAACAAAATCAAGACCCTCAAATTATTATCTAAATTAATACATAGTTTTAAAAGGGCAATGGGGAAGGCAAGCTGTGTGCTTTCTCTCAGAACTCATGATTCAAACACTTGTTTTTTTACTGCCATCCATTCAATATCCCTCTGCATGCCTACAAGAAAAACTAGCAACTGAGGACTTCACAGGCCCAAAAGCCTGGAGATTTGGAAGAGAACTCACAGCTAATAGTAACCTATTGAATCCCCTTGCAATACAATGTTCAGTCTAAAGCAGAGATGTAAACCAGCATAGAAAAAGGACAGGAACTTTTCCTGAAGTACTCCACCTGAGATCCCCTCTTCCTAATTCAAAGACCTGATAACTTTTTCAAAGCTTCTCCTCCATTTCATTTCAAAGTTGCAGCTCGCTTGGGAATTCCTGTTAGAGAACAGACTCCCTATAAAAGCTGATTAAGCATATTTGTGTGGAAATGCCCTGGAAACGCACGAAGGAGCTAGAGCAGACAAGCAGCTCTCACACATCCAACCTAACAAAGAAAAGCTTGTCTAAATTTCAAACAATGTCAAAATGCAACATTTTTAAAGAACTTCTCCTTTATGTCAAACTGTGATATTCTGCTTTTCTATAGCAATTACATTTACTACTTGAAAATTACTATAAGGAATGCATCATAAAAAAGCCTGAAAGCAGAATCTAAGAAAAACAGAATCAAGACTGTGTTTAACTATCCCCACTGACAAAAGGCACAAAACCAACTCAGGAATCGCTGACTTGGTGGGATGTTAAATCAACTCCCCAAAATACATAACAAAACTTCAATACAGAAACAGACACAGCTCTGGAGATTTTTTTTTTATCCCCCTCAAAGAAGTACATCCAATCTTCAAAACACAGATATTTCAGAGAATTATGACAATGCAGGAAACAGCATCATTTTATTCAGACTAAAGAAAAATAATACACATTTCCTAAGTGAAACTACCTGGCTGCTGGAATACATGATTTGCAGGATTCCTCAACACCAGTTTTTGAACTGACATTTTTCATTTCTGAGCAAGATGACATGGTTCAAATGGAAGCTACAGATATGGTGGAGGTGTTATGACTTATTTTTAGGCAGACTAGATTGTAATATTTTCTCTTGGCTGAAAGCAGGTGAAATCAAATTTGCATCATCATATTAGCAATGTACTGATTTCACACTTAAAGCTTCAAACCACTCGAACCCAGACAGTAGAAACTCTTTGACTGTTACTTAAACTGCCTAAAGAGGCAGCAATCAAACTTTGAGTCCCTGTTCTCTCCTTTATTGAACATACAATGCTTACAATCCCTTTCAGGTATGGAGTTGTCATTTTTGAGAGAAAGGGACACTGCTGTAAGGATTGGAAGGAGATGCATTCGAAACAAAGAAAGACAGGATGTGTGCATTAGCTTCTGATTTGAAACAGTAAACTCAAAGAGTGTCACCTTCAAATGCCAGAAATAAAATTTCTGACATTACAATATCTGTCCTTTTCCTCTTTAGAATTGATTCCTTTGTCACGTGTTTCTGCAGACCTTAAAATTAACATAGATCTGTTTATATTCACTACTGTAATTTGCAATAGAGCCATCAATGTCAACAGAACACATGAAATACACTGTGTTACAGCAAGGGCAGTTTGGTGGATTTCAGTATATTGGAAAATAGGAGTCAGAACAATTATCTTTTCTGACAGGTATATGGAAACAGATGGAAAAGGGAAGATTAGTCACAAGTTTTGTCAGTCCTGTTTCCTTTTAAAACAGAGAGCAAAGACTTAATTTCTGAGTGTCAGCTCTTGGCTGAAGTGATTAGCCTGACCTGTCCATGGCTACAGTGAACACAACCATCAGCAAACTTGATACTGGGGTCCTGCAAGATACCTAGCAACTCCTTTCACTGCTCTATTTGTAAAGGATTCAATCATGGTAAGCCATATAAACTTTATAAACTTACATTATGGCACAACTGGTACCATCCCATGCTACAAAGAGCTATATTTTGGGGAAGCATTAAATTGAGTTTAGGTGTAAAAACTCGCTCAAACCAGCAATACTTTTGTTTTGCATTGTGCTGAATGTCAAAGCCAGTTTTGTCTCCTCTGCCTCTCCTGGTGGGATAGCTTTGCCCAGTGTAAATACACACACCAGTTTACTGTGCTGTGCAACTCACAGAGCCAATCAAATAAAGTGAACGGACAATGCATAACAGAGAACAAGAGACAAAAGTTGTTACTCTGCAAATTGAAATATAACAATTGCAGAGGAAAAATATCATCAACTTCATCACTGCAAATTTATGGTATTTTTTAGAATATGTCCTTTAGTGTTTCGTGCAAGAGGACTTTTTTCAGGGACCTGGCAGATTACAAATGCTTGTGGCAGAGACATGGAACCCAGTTTTCATGGGAAAACTGCCTAAATTAATAAGCCAGTTTAGGTTTGTTTTAGTTGGGAAGGAGGAAGAGCAGGCTGTTTGTTTCATGGAAAGTTGCTAAGGAAATGAATATGTAGCCATAGATTTTCTAAAAATAAAACACTATTTTTCACTGCAGAAACTCTGCACTTTATAAAGAACAAATTCACTCACTCACACAAAAATTATCATAGATTTAGACATATTTGACTTAAACATCAAACTTTATAAATCCCAAAAGGCTTGGGTTACAGAGTGGGAAGAAGAAAGAAATACCCTTTCATCCCTTAGCTGTCTCAATCTTTCAAGAGTGTGAATATGAAGAGACTCCCTGATTTCTGACTTTAACTAAGCTCAACTTTACCATCTTTTGATGATATCTTTATCAAAAGATATAGATATCAAAAAGTCTTTGGTGTGAAAATATTATTATAAAGCATTCAAAATCTAAAACCAGAAATTCTACATGTGCTGATATATCTACAGCTAAAGTACCAACACAGAGCTAGACAATCCCCAGGATTTTTCTTCTTCAGCTTTAGACTGAAACCTTAGTTCAGTCTAAAAAGAATGTGATTCAACTATGAAACTATGTACTCAAAATTTCTATGTAATCTTTACAGAGAAACACAAGAGACTATAAACTTCCATCAATATGTGAAAATGCAATTATTTTTTCCTGTAGACAAAGACAATCTCAAAACCAACTGCATTCTATTTGGTGCCAAATGCATTCTGCATTAATTACAACTGCCAAAACAACAACCATCTTCATCCTGCAAGCTATCCTATTGCAAGTTTTGAAAGATCACAGCCAAGAAGGGCATCAAGGTACAAAAGGAGGCATCAGATCTCCTGAGAAATACCTATTTGCCAATTGAAACACTGGCAATTTCACAGAAAAGCTGGACCAGCCGAGTTAACCATAATTGACCCATGACATGGCCAGGAACTAGCCTGCAAGAATTGCAGAATCCCTTTTGTAGAAAAAGGCTTTCCCAGGATGCTGCCACTGAAATACCACATGCTCCCTCTGTTTTCTACATCTTCCTACTATTTTTCTTTGCTTATAGAATCACTAGAAACCATACTAAGATAACATGTTATTATACATAATCCTCATCTGTTGTGCATCTGGCATATGGAAGCACTGGAACAATGGAGGCCTTTCTTTCAAACTTCATATTTATATAGAAAAAAAAACCCACAACCCTTCTAATATTTCTATACACAATTTAAAAGAAGATGCTGAACAATCTGCCACTGGCTAAATGGAGGACAGGATCAGAGACTTTTTCAAACAGCATGGTTTCATGTACACATATAGGTCAAAAACATATAAGAAACACATTATTAAAGTACTTACAGAGGAACATTCACTTCTTTTCTGTTTTATTTGCATGTAAAAGCAAACACTTCAATGCCCCTTCACTCTGTTCCTTCATAAACTGTGTAAGAAAACTGAATCCAGATGTCCAAAGGACATTAAAAACCAGTAGAAATTATCAAATGCCCAAGTATATCTCTGCTCCCAAATGAAATCCAGTTCATCAAAAACAGTTTTATATAATAACCTGTTATTAAATACTTACTGCAAATTTTTAGGACATCTTTTAATCAAATTGCCTGACTGTTACTTTTAATAAGACTCCAAACAAGATTTTCATTTAGAAGTGAATGGTTTGGACCTTTCCTGAGACAACACAACAAAAAAATGCTTATGGGATGAACTCCCATATGCTTCCCAGAAACATTAGCACCCAGACTGAAAAATATTATACCAACTGTAATGCAAATAGCTTTGTGTCTATCCACTTTGCAAATTTCAATTGGTACCTGACCATTTTGAACTAATTAGGGACATTTACACAATTCATAAACTAAATGTCCTTACTTACAGTCCCTTTATCTGCTTTGGCTGATACCACTACAGAAAAATCTCAGTCTCACTGTTCATACCTACCGAAATTTCTTCAGTCAAATGCAAACCCACAAGAACAGAAATTACATGAGACTGACACTGAATCAGTTGTGTTCAGCAAGTCCAGAAACAGAAAACATGGAAGTAAATTCACCTTTTCAGGAAATAATACAAGGGGTTTGGTTAAGTCCTTCAGTCTCCAAACCACATCATTAGGTGACATGATTTCAAGGCTTCATATTTGTAGCAACTATCCACTGGGGCATCACTAATTCTGTGTATCTTTTGGATAAAAGTTGACAATCTTCTGATAATCTAATGAGGCATTCCAAACACTCCCACCCTTTAAGTATTTACTGAGTTGCAAGTGATGTTTTCACAGGTGGAAACTCACAGGACATCACATCTAGCATTATAATTTACTAAACATTGCAGCACACTACTGAACTGCCCCAAGACATCCATTATTATGGCAAGAACACAGCTAGATAATTCAGTAAAGAGTGAAGGAAGCATGGTGTAGGCTAACTTTCAGGAACCAGTCCACTTTCTATGGAAATATGGAAATTGTCTACAATACAACATGGGTAGCTTGCCATCACTTCAGGAATCTGGTTACCAGAAAAGGAGCATATTACCATTAGTGTGTATACTACACACAAGGCATAAAACTCTATTTTTACTCTACAAAAACTCAAAAATGTGCAGTTCCAGACAAAGCTATACTTGCCTCTTAATATTCTAAGAATGTCTCTGGAAATAAGGAAGATACATCCTCAAAACAAGTGGTTAGGAACCATGTAGGAACCTATTTTGTTGTGTATTTGTAAATAATAAATACATTAAAATATATGTTATATATATATGTTCATAAATAAAGCACTTAGACACATTCAAGCAAAAACAGGATAGTAGGAAAAATGCCACTCTGACAACTCTGAGTGTGTTTTAGGTAAATAAATGATGCTAAACAGATTTCACACTGTAAGCATAGTCTTAATATTTCATAGCTCCCTGGAAAAATAGCAAGATAAGGCAAGTTTCCACCTGATGTTTTTATGACAATGCTGTCTGCAAATGCTCCTGAAGACTGAAAGATGTGAAGCATTGTAGTTACAGTTAAAATTATTATGGTGATTATCATAAGTTATACTAATGTGTGTTGAAACATGGATTCAAAGTAATAAGGTCCAGAGTACTTTACAACAGAAATCAATAGCCCAAACTCAATTTTTAATTTGGGGAAGCCAATTCACCGAGAGTCAACAGGACCTGTTGAAGGTCACCCAGGCTGTGCCTCAACCATTCAGCAAATTGAGCTCCAGGGTTCCTTGTGCCTGATCAAAAACTCACCTGGGAACATGGGCTGGTGTGAACCCTCTGTACCAGCTCAAATTCCACATTTAATTTTCATGTTCATGAAACGTTACACCAGCCTCAGATGGTCAGGGTCTCTCATACTGGAGCATGGCTCAGCTGTTCACCTAACTATGGGCTAGGAAGCCAAGTCCACGTGGATGCCAGTGGGAAACCCTGGCTCGTGGTTATCATCCTGGGCATCCCAGTGATCCCCATCCCCCCTGCAGCAGGGGCGCCTCTGTATTACACACACACATAACAACAAACACAAAATCACGGCCTCTCCAGAAGCGGCTGCCTGGGCCCAACAAGGAACAGAGATCCCTAATTTCTGTCCCAACGTGCTCCTGGTGCCACACGCCGGGCTGGCGAAGGGGCTGTGGGAGAAAAGAGGCCACCTTCGCCCGCCCCATCGAGAAGAGGGGCAACCTGCATTGCCCGCCCTGGAGAAGCCGGAGCCCCGGAGGGCGGGGTGTCCCGGGCAGGGCGGGCAGCACGGAGCCCCGCGGGACGCGCCGGTACCTCTGAGGGCCTGGTGCATGCCCCCGATGCCGCTGTACAGCTCCAGCACCCGCAGCGCCGCCATGCTCGGCCCGCCGGCCCGCCCGGCGCCTCCCCGAGCGCCGCCCGCCCGTTCCGCCGCTCTTTCGTTCCCCCCGGCCTGCGCCGCCCCGGAGCGGCGGCGGCGGCTTGGCCTTGGTGGTTGCTCGGGGAACCACGGGCGGGATCGGCCCCGCAGGACGAGGCCGCCCCCGGCTCAGCCGGCCCTGCCGCCCCCTGAGGTGTCCGTGGGGCGGCTCCGCCACCTGCGCCCTCCTGGCAGTGAAGGGGCGGGACAGGCACCCGCTGCCCGCCATGACCCCCTTGGGGCTTGGTCAGGCCAAGCCGGTGCGGGCGGCTCAGGGACAGAGTGGCAGTGCGGGGTGGCAGCGGGGCTGCTCCTCGTGAGGGCGGACATGTGTGCGGGGCTGCTCCTCATGAGGGGGGACACGTGTGCGGAGCTGCCCCTCATGAGGGGGGACGTGTGCGGGCCCGTTTTCGAGAAGCCCTTTCAAAGGCCGCACAGGAAAGAAGGAAATAACTGATGAAACTGCTCTTATTCGCCCCAACGCTTCTTGCTAAACTGAGAAGGAAACGACTACTCAATGACACTGTTGCCCCATAAAGTATCCGCTTTTTAAAGAAATAGTTTATGTACGTATATATATATATGTGTGTGTGTGTGTGTGTGTGGTGTGTGCACATGCATATGTATATATATACTTATATATATATACATGTGTATATAAGTATATATTTATAATTCTTTTATATATAAGTATTTTATATATATATATACACTCTGGTTTATATATATTTATACATATGCGTGTGGTGTGTGCACACGCATATGTATATATAGATATATATATATATAAACCAGAGTAAATACGTCACAGACTGTTACATGGGTTACCCACCACAGTCAAGCAGACATTCACCTACGCCTCAGTTTGCAGATTCAGATTGTAAAGTGAAGATGAAACATTAAAAAAAAATTTAAAAATCACCCAAACCAAACCTGAACATGTTTCTCAACTAGTTTCTTGATTTAATTATATTGTTGTAAGAAACCTGTCAAAAACAAGGTGGGTTTAAGGAGTAGTTCTTTTTTCCTTACAAGCTGTCTCATACAGCATGTCATAGTAGCTCCCACCTCTTGACTTAAAGTGGGGGAAGAATTTTTAGCTGAAACTGGAGGGCAAAAAGAGGTAAATCTGCTGCCTTTCAATGCACTCCTTCAAAATACAGGATGCATGACCTGGGGAAAACAGTGGAATTAGAAACAAAATTTCAAAGTAAAAATATCAGTCCTTGCCAGTTTTTTCAAAACAGTGCTGTCATTCACCTGTCATTCATGTGTGGATCTTCATTATCAGAGTCTGGGGCTGCTGCTTTATTTGTCAAACATGGAAGGTGACAAAAACAAGAAGTCCAAGTCTGTCACACAAAAGGAAGGGCAGCAGCTGAGACACCAGAGGAGAGCAGCAGGCATTGCAACCAGCTGCATGCAGGTTTCCTGCATTGGAGGTTGATGGAGAACTGAGAAAATGAAATTGCATGGCGCAACAAAACTAGAAATGTGCTTGCTGGAGAAATGAGTCATGGGACAAAGATGCTGAAGGCCCCGAAGAAAACTGATCAAGATGATGAAGATGGGTTACAAAGAGCAAGGTTGTTATCAGCTAAGAAGACACACTTTAGTAGAACCCCTTCAAAATATAGATGCAAGATGAAAATTTTAAAAAAAAGCAACTTTTAGACTATTGAAATCAGTAAAGCTGATGAATGAGTTTGAGTTTCTTGTTTTACTATTCCCATAAGCTACAGATGACAGCAATGCCAGGTACTGTGAGGAGTGAGAGCTGTAGTCAGCCACAAACAGTTCGTGTATTTGGAGCTGCCCAGTACCTGGAGTGATTAATACCAGACAGGAAGACAGGGCTGAGACCTGCTTTTCCTTCTCCTTTCCCTGACTCCAAGGTATTTTTGCCATTCATACATAGGAAAAGTGGAGTCAGATGGAAAAAGCAGCAGAGATGTCTCTGCAGTGCTGGTTGGTGGCAGTAGAATATTCCCAGCTCAGGGGAAATCCTCCACCTACTTCCTCTTCCAGTGTAGTAAACTGGAGAATATGATCAACATGCCTCCACTCTGGCAACAAAGAAATTAATAAACTAGATTGGGATTTTATTGGCTTCCTCTTGTAAAGAATGGAAAACACCAAAACTTCCCTAGTGCTCATTTTTTAACAACTGGCAGCAGTCACATTTATAATTCTGTATAACTGTGTCTGCCCTAACCTGGTTCTCTTTATTAATTGACAGCTGCAAAAAAACCCCAAAATGAACAAAATGAAAACAGGGAATCTGGAAACAGTTACTTATAGTGTTCTTCACTTTAAAAATGTAAAGTCAACATAATAATAACCATACTTTCTGGATCCAAACTTAGATAATAGTATTTAAGGCATGCTGCTTGTTTCAGACAGGAGCAATGGCTCAGAAGTGCTGAGATCCATGGCCACTCAGATCTTGCTTCTCAGAGGAAAACCCGGAATGATGGCAGAGAGAGGGTGAGCCCTGTGAAAGCAATTGTTCATACTTCACTCAGAAAATCTTGCTAATATGTGCTATCATTGTCATGGGGTGAGCTAAATGTTGCTCAAAGTTTATCTTGTGACCCCAAAGCAGCCACATGTCTGCAAAATTTCCCAATTGGATCTCTGACTTACTGAAATTTGGGTATTGTGGCAGCTCCTTTTTACTCTTCTCCATGCATATAGGATGGATAGGATTCCTGTAAAAGTCCATGAACATTAAATTTTATTAACTGAGGAGATTAATAGCAGAGTTGAAGTCCAAAGTCCAACTCTGGACTCTCCATTTTTTAGGACACAAGTATGGGCTGTTTCATGTATCAATTATGGCTCCACAATGTAGTTGGCTTTAAATAAGAAATGAAAGGCTTTTCTAAAATTATGCTAATTTGTTCTAAATGGGCACATCTACAGAACTATGATAATGCATTGATGAAACAGCTATTTGCTTGACTCTAATATATTTATAGAAAAATATATTTTAAGCAAACTGATCTTTTAATGGTATTTTTAAAGTTATTGACATAAGCATGTGATATCTGCATTTTCACTGAGACAGCTTTGAAAACTCCTGCCTCCTACCAACTAGCATCATTTCCTCAATGCAGAAGTTTCTGGAGTTTGCCCACATCTCTGATGAGTGGTATGATACAGATAACCATGCCAGGTCTGAAATTGTTGCCTTGGTAATACAACAAATATGTAGTGAAACAGCTACATGTGGTTAGAGAACAAGAAACCACAACCACTGCAGTATTTTCTCTTCTTAAAATGCTTTAGAATTGTTAAAAATGTTACAATTAGCAATCAAGAACAAGAACAATAACATCACAGGAACACACCCCCTTCTCTAAGATTCTGCATTGTACTTGGCAACTGAAAAACAAAATTACAAAATATGACTGGACCATGTAATCCTGCCCTCAAAGTGAGAAGAAAAGATTTTCACTGCTCTGTTTCTCTAATTCAAAAAATGCACACAAAACTCGATAAGCAGTTACATGTGAGTCTTCTCCCTGGCCTCCTCTTTACAGCAGAGCAGAGCCAGCAGGGCCTCTGCTCACCCCCAGCTGTGACAGGAGGCTGCCAGTCTGCAGTGCCTGTCACTGGGCTGTGTCCAGGCCATGAATGTAACCCCTGGGTGATGAAAGGTAGTGGACTTGAAGCTGGGAAGTTTTTGTGAGCATTTTCTCTATATTAAAAAAATGGAGAGAGAATAGGGAAAACCTCCCTCTTCTTGTACACTGCATGTTTAAAAGTGCCTTCACAGTAATCAGCCAAAACTTCATACAAGCAAATATCAATGTTGATGGCTGAATAACAAAAAATGCTTCTTTTTTCCAAAGGTCCAGTATAACGTACTAAACACCCAAGTGAGGATCAGGAAGAGCATATGAACATCTCTGCTGTCTGGAAGCTCATATTCTGGGTCAGAAATCATTGTGGCCAGGAAAGAATGTGAGGCATGTCATACCCTTGCAATGCAACCAGTGAATTGAAAAAAATCCCTCAGAGCATATGGCATCAATTATTGCTTCCATAACCATTGGCCCAGCAGGTTACTAATAAAACTGAAAACCTTTTGCAGTGTATCAAAGTCAATCTTTATCGGATGTTCTGTTTCAGAAGGGTATTTATCAGAGCTGATTTCTGCTGAAGTGCTGCTCAGTAAAAGTAGCTGTCAGCCACAGAGGCGGTGCTTCCAGGAAGCGGCTGGGCTGTGCCAGTACGGCTAAGGAAGCCTATGATTTTCATTTATAATGCCACACATCTGCAAGACTAGAAGAGAAAACCACATCAAACCAAGTTTGTCATTTTCTAAGAACTCTATACCAGGAAAATTTACGTAGCTGAAATTATTTGGAAGAGTGATCAGACACAAACATTTTTAACCGTTTGCTTTTCAAATATAATAATAGCTCGATTTCAGGATTTGATTTTCAGGTTTTGGGGCTAGGTATATACTCTGTAGGGAGTAAGGAATAAAAAGACATTGCTTCTCTAATTAAATCTTTACTTTTCTGGTTTAAATACATTTAAATCTAAATAAATCTGGCTTGTTTGTTACATTTGGCCTGCAGTGGTTACTCAGGCTCGATGAGAGGCATATGTTTACATTATGTTATTGACTTTCTTGAACTTACACATTCCAGTGCTTGACCAAAAAAAATCATATAAAAAACTATATATTCACTGGATTGAACAAAACAGACTCAGAGCTCTTTAAGGCCCCTGCAGTCAGGCAAAAGATTGCTGGTGCAATGAATACATTTTGACTGAGACCTTTGAAGGGCGACAGCAGGCACGGAGCCAGGCATTTGTTAAGGGGGATCAGTTCAGGATGAGGTAATGGTGTGGGAGATCCCAGCTCCCTTGCAAGGGCAGGAGGAAATGATGTGATGCCTGCTGCTCTCTCAAAGGGAGGGGAGGGGAGGTGGGGGAAAGAAAGGAAGT